ATACGAAGTTATTCCCCCCCCCCCTACAACAGCCACACCTGGAGCCGGTCGTCCACGGCGTCGCGCATTCGCCGCAGGCGCCGTAGCTCGGCCATGTCCCCCCCCCGCTCCGCCAGGCCTTGCAGCTCGCTTTCCAGCTCGGGGATGACCAGCATGGTGCGCCAGCCCAGCGCCTTCTTGCTGCGCAGCACGTCGCCGTAGATATGGTCGCCCACATACAGCACTTCGCTCCCAGCGGCCACGCCCAGCATCTTGTGCAGGTCGTGGAAGGAGCCGCCCTGGAAGACGCGGGCCTCCCCCCCAGGGCGCGGCGGCGCGACGTCGCGCGCGGAGGGCGCGGTGCTGCCCAGCGCGGCGGAGGGCAGGTCGTCCTCGCCGATGGGCACCATGGGCGACCCGCCCTCGGTGTTCCACAGCATGCCGGAGGGGGGGTGCACCTCGAACAGGTCCTTGCGCTCCGCGAAGAAGCGAGGCTTGCCACACCCCGTCACCACCACGTCGAAGCGGGAGAGCCAGGAGGTGGAGCGGGCCGCGCCCACCCGCCCCTCCACCAGGTAGTTCATGACCACGTGGGTGTAGTCCCACAGCGAGTTGGTGGCCAGGAACACGCGCTTGCCGCTGGCGCGCAGCGCGCCCAGCACGGGGCCCAGCGAGGGGTCGGCGTGGATGTAGCGCGCCGGGTCGGCCGCCACCTCGCGCTTGATGGAGCCGTCGCGGTGGCACAGGTCCACCGCACCGCGCACGTCGCGGTACAGGTCGGCGTACTGCTTGCCGAGGGGCAGGCCGCTGCCCCCAGCGTCCAGCAGCTCCACCAGCTGCATGAAGAGGTGGGCCTCCGCCAGGGAGAAGAGCGTGTCGATCAGCGCGTAGGCGGGCTCGTCGTAGCCATGCCGCTGCGGCGCGTCGTTGTACGTCGCCAGGCGCGCGGCGCGCGGCAGCTCGCTGAACCCGTGGTAGGCCAGCTTCACGTACTTGTGCCGGTCCACCTTGAGCATGTTGCCGCGCTGCTTGTCGATCACCAGGCCACGGCTCATGTAGCGCCAGTCGAATTCCAGGTCCAGCAGGGACTGCGGCGGCGGAGATTGTGCGAGTGTGAGGATGGGGTGGAATTGGAAACGCAGAAAATGAGAGAGGCGTATGGGTCAGGTCATGTGAGGTTGGTGGGCTTGTGTGCGTTGCAAGAGATTGATGGAATGTGAGACTCCCAACCTCCGATCGAGGAAGGGGTGTATCGTCAAGCGGGCGGCACCCCAAGGACACCTTCCAGCACGACTCCGTCAGCCTGTACACTCCAGCCCCACGGCCACACAACTCAACATCCTGAATGCGACGCACGTTGTGGTGCGGACCACCAATCCATGATCCATGCACGTGCAGCCCTGGACAGGCACCCTCTCCCACACAGAACCAACAACAAGGACCCTCACCTTGGGGTAGCCAAAGGCGGACACCAGCTTCTTCACCGTCTCATCGTGGGCCAGCACCTCAAAGGTCTCGGGCTTGTACTGCGCCAGCGTGTAGTCCATGTCGAACCCCACCGCCCTCACCGCTGCCATGTTCAGGCTGCGGTTGCAGAAGATGCGGCGAGAGGGGGGCATGCAGGGCTCCTCCGCCGCGTCGTCAGTCCACAGCGGATTGGCCTCGCTGGCCAAAGGGGGAGGGGGGGGGAAGACGGCGCTCATGGCGGTCCTGGCATCCAGCTTGGCGGCTGGTGGCTGGGTCGGGGGCGCGCACGGGCGGTGGCACGACGCGACGTGCCTGTCAGGCTGCCTGTGGCAGGGGGGGCAGGGCTTCGCTGGGGAGAGGGCAGGCAAATGAACACATGGATGAAAATATGGGGAGCGGGATGGAGGCTCTGGGTGCTCACCAGCCACCCTCCATGCTTGTCCCGGCATACAAGGTCAAACACCTAGACGCTGGCCGGGAACTGATTTGCAGGGAAGCACCCGAGCGATGGGTCGTCGCGAGCCTCGCTCCGCCTGCAGCCGGCGTATCAGCAGGGAGGAGGCGCATGCACAGCTTCAGAGATCGGACGACGGCCCTCGCCATGCGCTGTGGGTGGGGCTCGGTGGCCAAGGATCACTTGCCGGCCCTCCCACCTCCTGGGGTTGCACCCACCCAGTCGATCAGTGCAGGGACCGGATTCAAAACTGGTAGTGGAATCTCAGCGATATTCGCATCAATCGCCAAATCCGACCCCTGCCCACCTGGGGTCGCCGCATTTTCCATGTGGCCGAATCTCATAACTTTCGGGTGTGATCCAGAGAGGCTAACCCCACTTCCCAGACTTACGTAGTGGGTTCCGGCTGGTGTGCAGCATTTTCTAGTGTTGCATTACCAATGTCAAGACCGATGGCCAGAAGTATATGCACGTTACTGACTCCATAAACTCCAACTGTTTGCAGCTTGGAACCTGTTGGCAGGTGCCCCCAGCTGCTCCACAAAACTATACCAGGGCTTTTTACACCACTTTGCATTGCTGCTCGGCCCACCAGATACTTTTCCTCAGTCCCGCACAATGACATCTGACTCATCGCCTAGGCAGGAGTCTGAAGGAGTCCACGGCTTCATCCAGGGAGGTGTCCCATGACTCCCCATTCCCATCGCTGCCGCTGGCGATCAGACTGATGACTAGCCCCGACATGATGCCCGACGCAGAAGACAGCCGGGTGCCGTCGGTGAGCCGTGCCTCGTGCCGGTGAATGACCAGCGGCTCCCTCTTGAGCAGGGCCCCTATCAAGGGTAGGCCGGGGGTGGCGGGGGCTGGCTGCTCATACGTCTGGGACCAGGCGCGGCTCAGGAGGGTGTTCCGGGGCAGGAGCAGGCGGGCCGTGTCGGCCGGACTGCCCAGCTCATCCATGGTGGTTGGCTGCAGGAGGGACTGCTTGATCTCTGAGGTTGCTCGTTCCAACACCACCAGCTGCTGCTTGGTGTCTGGACGGAAGAAGGAGGCCTTGATCACGCCGCTGGATGCTGTCTGACCTGTGGGCGAAGTAAGGTGACAGGAGGGGTGCACTCATGCAGACTCACCGGACTGATGGGGGGCATTGCCAGCTCCTGGCAGAGGTCTCATGCACTGGGCAGGTCTGGCCAGAGTCCTATTGTAAGGCAAGTCAACAAACTGCACCTGGCCTGGGGCGGACAGGGGCAGGCAGGACACGGGCTTGCAGGGTGGGAGGGTAGCTAAAGTAGTAAGCCCGCCCAGTGAATCGAGGCCATGATCCGCCGTCTGTCGTGATCGTCGGTGTTGCGGTGATCGAGGTCCCAGAGGGAGCGGGCCTTCCCTGGGTCGCCTGCTCAGGACCGAAAGCCCATGCCATGGGTGTGCGCGCCAGGAGGAGGGGGCATGGCAGGAGCAGCATCATCCGGCGGGTGGCGTGGGGTGGGGTCTGGCATGGCTGCCTGCCAGGCGCATGACATGGAGGAGCTGGAGACCCGGCATGAGCGAGCGAACTCGCATGCATTGTGGCGATACACAATTTACGAGTTATTCACAATGTTTGGGGCTGAATGCGCGATGCACAGAGGTCAGGGGGCAACTTTATCCCGGGGCCCACAGCTTGTTCGAGGATTTTTTTGGCATGGCGCGCTCGAAACGACACTGTGGGGCGGATCGCGACTGGCACTTCAGCAGACTGCAACGGGCATTGTTTCGATCGTATATCATATGCATGCTTATGGAGTGATATGTGTTGTCTCTATTTGAATTGGGCGCTCGATCTCCCGCCCAGGTTGGCCTCGGCTGGAGGGCCTCAGGCTCGGTGATGGAGGCGCAGCGCCGAGCCATGCAGCAGGCTCAGGAGCTGCAAGCCTACATGAAAGATCTCCTCAAGTGGGAGAAAGACGTGGAGGTCAAACCAAGGGTACGCACCACCCCTGCTGCCGAGCTGCCCCCCGTGCGTGGGAGTGTGCCGGGAGGAGCAGGAGCCCGCAATGGCTCTACTGGTGGCGCCAGCACGAGGCACACGCCCCCCACATGCTCTACCGAGGGCTTGAGGGAGGAGGGAAACGAGCATTTCAGGAAGGGACGCCTGAACGAGGCTGCGGCCAGCTACACCACCAGCCTCAAGCTGAAGCCCACGCCAGCCGCCTTTGCCAATCGAGCTGCTGTATATCTGAAGAGGAGGGAGTGGGACCGAGCAGAGGCAGACTGCAGCGCTTGCCTGGAGCTGGATGCCGGGTTTGTCAAGGCGTACCATCGCAGGTGGTTTCATGGCCAGGGGCCCCCCGCATCTGCCCCACTGGGTGTTGTTGCCCTTTGTGGTAGCTGCCCGGGCCGACACGCTGGCACCTTGCCCAGCACCGAGCGCTACAGCCTCGGGCTCCAGCACAAAGATCCTTCTTGACTCAACACCTCCTTGCCCACTCTTTCCAGGGCCACGGCGCGAGAGGCCCTGGGGGACATGCACGGCGCAGCGGCAGACTTTGAGCGGGTCTTCTGCCATGACCCCTCGTCCACCCAAGCCGTGGAAAGCAGGGCCCGCTGCCTGCGCGCGTTCCTGGATTCCCAGCCGTTGAATGGGGCGCCGAGTCCCGGCAGTCAGGGCCCTAGTGGGCCTCTTCAAGTTTCCGTGTCCCTGGAGGCCTGCGAACCAGGCCCCAGCCCAGGTGTCAGCCTGCTACTGGAGCAGGAGGCCGGCGGCAGCGCGGCCGCTCTGGGTCTGGAAGGGAGGGGTGCGGAGATGGTCCCGCTTTCCACCAGCTACAAGCCAGCAGGAGGGATGCAGCAGGTTGAGGCTCGTGTGAGTCCCGGGTCCGGCAGCCCCCCCGCCCTCGACGACGAGCTGCCTGGCAGCCACGCGCCGCCTGGTCCGGATTCCGTGGAGACTGCCACAGGGTTGCCTCGATCGCTGGTGACAGTGGTTGACGATGACAGGGGTGTGAGGAATGGGACAGCCGCTCAGGAGGGCGTCACTCAGGTAGACGGCCAAGAGGATCAGGCAAGGAGAGTCGTCACTACCGCGGAGCAGCTGCTGGGAGAATGCGCCGCAGGCCCAGAGGTGGCTACCTCGTGTCCTGCCCCTGGGCTGCAAAATAAAACTCGTGACCCTAGTATGGTAGAAAATCAATCCCCCGGCGCCCTGCCTCCCTACCATGGCCGGGTGCCATCCTCAGGTAGGGGTTGGTTGTCAGAAAGACTAGCCTAGTCCTTGGCTTTGCCGGAAAGCATCTCATGCTCTGGCAAACCTCCACCAGCCTGGAACTCTTTGTGGGCAAGAGGCTGACATCCATGCATGCACAGCCTGCCTCCACACCATGTGCACCACCCCAAGCCCCACCCCCTTGCCCTGTCCATGCCAGGGGTGGAGTTTGAGAGGGCATGGCGTGGCTCCAAGCGCGATCCCCCGGCGCAGGCCGCCCTGCTCTGCGCCATACCCCCTGCCCGCCTGCCGCACCTGCTGACTCACGTCCTGAACCCTGAGCTGCTGGCCGAGGTCGCGATGCGCGTGCTGGAGAGCGTGGCGCGCAGGCAGCCCTCGCTCGCCCTGGACCTGCTGCGGGCGCTGCGCTGCGTTCCCCGCTTTCCCATGCTGGCCATGGGTCTGGCGCCGCGGCAGTGTGCCGCGCTGCGGAACGCCTGGGACGGCTGTGGCGGCCTGCCCGGGGCCGAGCCGGAGCTGCTGAAGGCTTTTGGTCTGCAGTGATGGCTGCTGGCTAGGGTGGCTCGCTGAAGCAGTCCTCTTCCCGAATGACTCCCTCGGTGTTCGACATGTGAATACTGCCTTTTGTCAACCAAAGAGGCTCAGCCAGGCATGATTCCAGCAGGCACAATCCATTCACATGATGCGCTGGGCAGCCTTGGTGCGATGCATACAGGAAGACGAGGCCACCCCGTGCACACAAAGCTCCAGCTGTGCCTCACGGCGCGACGCCCAGCTCCAGCACCAGCTTTTTCTTCTTGCCGAGGGACACCATGACCAGGCGGCCGTCGACGAGGTCATCGGCGGCCAGACCCCGCCCCTCATCTGTGACGACCTTGTTGTTCACGCGTAGGCCCCTGCCCTGCAGTCCAAAGAGGGAGAGGGGTGGGTGCGCCTGGGGCATGCTGGCGCGCGGCAGGCGACCGACAAGCGCACTGCACCGGGCGGGTGCAATGCGTCCGGGAGCATCTCAAGGTCCTCAAGCCCCTCCACCCGAACCTCCAAAACCTCGCAGTGGGAATAAGGCCACCTTGTGCCCGCCCCTGCCCCCACCTGGCCGCGTCCACACCACCTCCGACGGCCGCCCCCCCCCCCTCCCGCCGACCGCACCTGGACCAGCCTGCGCGCGGCGCCTTTGCTGGGCTGCGCTCCCACGCGCACCAGCAGGTCTATCAGCGGCCCCCCCAGCGCCGCCTCACGGTCCACGGCGAACTTGGGCGCCCCGCCCGCCACCGCCGCCTCCAGGGTCTGTAGGTCCACGCTGCCCTCGCTGGACCCCGGGGCGAGGGCCCGGGTGGCGGCCAGCGCGCCCCGCAGCCCCTCCTCGCCGTGCACGAAGCGGGTGACCTCCGCCGCCAGCGCTCGCTGAGCCGCCGCGGGCGGCTGGCCGGGCGCCAGCAGGGCGTCAATCTGCTCCAGGGGCAGGAAGGTGAGGGCTCGCAGCATGCGCGCCACGTCGTCGTCCGCCGTCGCCAGCAGGGCCTGGTAGAAGGCGTAGGGGGACAGCTTCGCCGGGGACAACCAGATCTGTGTGAGGATTGGTCATGTGGAGGGGGAGGCTAAGGCGGGGTTGGAGCCAGGGTTCGGGGTAAGCGCCTTTGTGCGTGAGACAGCGTGCCACTGAGATGGTGCTGCCTGCGCAGACCAACTTGCGCACATGAGGCCAAAAGCATGGCCGCATTCTGAACGGTTGGATCAGGGTCCAGACTTGCGCCCCCTTTCAGGATTGCATTGGAGACCCCGTGGCAGGCTACTAAGTCCGTATGGATCTATCACAAATGATTTCAACCCCCTCGCCCCTGAACCCCCCACACCACCCCCTACACGCACCGCGCCGCCCTCCGACTTTCCAAACTTGGTGCCGTCGGACTTGAGCAGGAGGGGCACCGTCAGCCCAAATGCGTCGGCATCCATGGTCTTGCGGATGAGCTCCGTCCCCGCCGTGATGTTGCCCCACTGGTCGCTGCCGCCCACCTGATGGCCGGAGATTGAGTGAGAGAGGGTCGGTGGGCGTGGCAATCCTGCATCGCATGCATTCAAGCACCGATTCCAAGGTCTGTCTGAGGCAACAGTGGGCTCTAATTCCAGCAGGTGCCCCAGCCCACTTACTCCATGCACCTCGGCCAGCGCACACCACACACACTGATGCACAAAGCTGCAGCCAAGCACCCGCCCACCCAAACCTCCCACCTGCACCCGGACGCCGTGCGTCTTGCGCAGGTGCACAAAGTCCTGCCCCTGGAGCAGCTGGTAGGAGAATTCAGTGAAGGAGATGCCGGTCTCGCTTTCCAGCCGGGTCCGCACGCTGTCCTTGGCCAGCATGGTGCCCACTCGCGCGTGCCGGCCTGCATGAAGATCATCGGTTCAATTGACGAGGGCTGGCTGCATGGCCTGCTCCAAACGCCGGCTGCTTGTTGCAGGCGCATGGCGTGCGAGATCACGGGTGCACCCTGTGCCACCTTCCACCCTCTGGGACCCCTCACCAGCCCCCATGCGCCTCACCCACGTCCCGGAGGAAATCGAGCAAGCCCATGCCAGACCACCACTCGTAATTGTCCAGGACCAGGGGCGCCTCGCCCGTGGACCCTGGCACCCGCTGCAGCAGGGCCTCGACGTTGCGCGCGATGCTGGCCGCATTGGCCGCCACCTCGGCCTCGTCCAGCACCGGCCGCTCGCTGGACTTGCCTGCGCACGGGGAGGGGGGTGGGCGGTGCGCGGTGGGGCGGGCCGCCCGAGCCCACGGTGGCCTGAGCATCGCAAAAGCACGCCCCGAGCTCCATGCCAGCAGGCGCCCCAGGGAAACCCCCCTCCAACGCCCTCAACCGCCCACCTGAGGGATCCCCGATGCGCCCCGTCGCGCCGCCCATGAGCGCCACGGCCTGGTGGCCGCAGCGCTGGAACCAGGCCAGCACCATGAGGCAGAGCAGGTTACCCAGGTGCAGCGACTGGGCGGTGGGGTCGAAGCCGCAGTACACGCGCAATGGGCCGGCCGCCGCAGCCGCCGTGAGGCCCTCGGCGCCGCCCGCCACGTCGGCCAGCAGACCCCGTGAGCGCAGCACGCTGAGCAGGCTGGACCGCCGCTCCGCGGCAGCGTCAGTGGGGCCGGGGGAGGGGGTGCTGCCGCCGTCCCGCACCTGCAGGCCCTGGGCGCCCACCCCGACGGCCCTCAGGCTGGTGAGGGGTCTGTGGCCTCTGAAGCACCTGCATTAGGAAGTAAAGCGGATGAGGATGACGTGTCATGCCGCTGGGAACGCCTTCGCGGATTCCGCGGGCGGTTACACGGGCCTCTGCCCAAAGGCAAGAGTCCCAGGGTGGGTGAGAAGCGGGTGCGAGCACACCGTCCGGCCTCATTCAGGATATCCCCCGCGCACCAATCATATATGGGAGGCCTAGACCAGATGCTGCTGTTATGCAGCCATGCAGCGCGCACGAGGGGCAAGCACCGGGCTGGGAGGAAGCAGGAGGCGACTCGACTCATTCCGCACCGCCGGTGCCAGGCCAGTCGAGACCACCGGCACCAACCGCTTCGACTCGTATATCCTAGGGACTTTCAGATTTTACTGGTTCGACCCTAGTACGATGTGCATTATGGGCAGTGACTCTTCAACGGTGTGCATTCATGTCGCACCGGAGCATGCATGGCAACAACCAAATCGGATGAGGGGGGTGGGCAAGCTCTCACCCTGAAGTGTATAATTTTTGGGAAGCTCAACGCTCAGCAATGAATTTTACAACTGGGTATTGCAATGACTAACCCATGCAGCTGGAATTGCAATGAGTGACACAGCATGGTCAGCAAGCCAAGGATTCGCTTGAAGCACAGGTACCTTGCAGCCCACACTTTGAGTATCCTCTCCAGTACAGACAATGATTTTGACAGCGTATGGTCAGTGGAATAGGGTACTCACTAGTTGAGGAAACCGATTTTCTCTGTGAGTGATTCTTGAACATGTTTTTCGGGCAAAGAAGCTCTGAGGCGGGGGCGCTCGCAGTATATAATGCAAAACTCGATCTAATTATTCATCGTTCAACAGCGCACCACAAGGTCGGCAGTTCGAGCCTGTCTGGCGGAGTGATCCGCAACCTTCCGCTATAGCTCAGCCGGTAGAGCGTGTGGCTGTTACGTTGATTGCTTTTTGGCGTTCTGGGCATCAGGACAATATTGGTATTGAGCTCGTCCATCAGGAATTCTATCCATTGATGGGGGGTCACTGCCATTGGGTTTTTCCATCGATGTCGGTGAGGGGTGCCTAGCCGAGCGCCCTTCGGTTGTAGATTCGGGTGAGCCTGATGTGAGGGTGTATCTTGGATAAGATGTATCAATATTCCAGTCCAGGGCGTCGTCTTGCTGGTGATCACCAGCACCACGCGCCCTGTTCATGGGGCGCCATCGGCGCGCGTCATGGGTTATGCAGCTGGGATTCCGAACAAAAACGGTAGGCTTCCTCACCCATCCAAGTAACGCCAGCCCACTCTTATGAGAGCTCAGATCGACATCACAGGACGCCTGATCGGTGCAGTCGTACATCTAGCCAGACAGCGGGCTCCCCGTGTCGTAACATCCCACCCGCGGTCTCCTTCGCCAAGACCCATCCACAGCCGAACCCAGATTCTACTCTTTGCAGCTCAGTCACCTCTCTCTTCCACAGAATCGACGTCATCTGTGCCAATGGGAAAGAGGGCAGCCACTGTGGAGCACTCCACCCAGTCTAACTACGAGGCTGTCACTGTGACGCACGCTGACCTCGGTGCGCTGGCAAAGGGCAAGGCTGTTGTGAGCCGATTGATCCGGTCATTGCATGGTGCTTGCGTTGTTCTCAGAAGCGCAACCAAGAGGGCTATATGCGCTCAGCGATGCGCCGTGCCCTGCCCATGCCACAGATTTGGTGGTCGATTTCTCTGCCAAGACCATCAGTGGCACTGCCCAGGTGTGTGTCGCGCCAGACAAATACACATCTCAATCTAGGCGTTGCAGCACGGGTGATTGCGCTATTAAATCAGCATAGATGCCCCTAGGCTATTCCTCTTGGGAGCAAAAGGGTCCCTGCTTACTCCCCATCCCACCCCATGTCGATCCCTGTGCAGCTCAAGTACGAGGTCAAGCGTTCAGGCTGCGATGCGCTAATCCTGGACACACGGGACTTGGCCATCCAGGAAGTCTCCGTGGACGGAGCTGCCTGCCAATTCACCCTGGCCTCGCCTCACAAGGTGGGTGGTGCTTCGGGAGGCACTGGCCCCTTCTCCGCACGTTGGATTGTTCGGCAGCCCCCCGCTTCATCTGAAAACCTGCCCGCACTATCTGCTGGACACCCCTCCCTGAGTACTCCATCCGTTCCCCCTGCCTTCAATTCGCCCTGGCACCCCGCCCACCCCCCCCACGCAGGCGCTGGGCTCGGCGCTGAGCATCCCGCTCCCCGCCGGCGCCGGCGCCGGCTCCCAGGGCTCCACCCGGGTCCGCTTTGCCACCTCCCCCGCCTCCACCGCGCTCCAGTGGCTGTCCCCCGCCCAGACCGCGGGTGGCGAGCACCCCTACCTCTTCACGCAGTGCCAGGCCATCCACGCCCGCTCGCTGGTGCCCTGCCAGGACACGCCCGGTGCCAAGCTGACCTACGCCGCGCGCGTGCGCGTGCCGGAGGTCATGACGGCGCTGATGAGCGCCGTGCCCGTGGACGAGCCAGGGCGCACGGGCCAGGAAAGCGGGGACGGCACGCGCACGTTCAGCTTCGCACAGCAAGTGCCCATCCCCAGCTACCTCCTGGCGCTGGCGGTGGGGCAGCTGGAAAGCAGGGAGCTGGGCCCCGTGTCGCGCGTCTACTCCGAGCCCAGCATGGTGGCTGCCGGGGCGTACGAGTTCTCGGAGACCGACGCCTTCCTGCAGGCCGCCGCCTCGGTGGCGGGGCCCTACGTCTGGGGGCGGTACGATCTCCTCCTCCTGCCCCCCTCTTTTCCCTATGGTATGGGTGCTGGGGTTTCCTGTGCATGCCCTTCGTAGGCCAGTTCTTGGTCGAACCTCGATGCATCATGCCATGCTCCCAGGCCACCCTCACATGTGAGACCTCTCACCACGCCACCTCCTACACACCAGGCGGCATGGAGAACCCCTGCCTGACCTTTGTGACCCCCACGCTGCTCGCCGGGGACCGATCGCTGGCCAACGTCGTGGCGCACGAGATTGCGCACTCCTGGACGGGGAACCTGGTCACCAACGCCTCGTGGTCTGTTGGCTGTGGCGGAAGGGGGAGGGGGGGGGGGAGACGGCGAGTGCAACAGGCAGGGGCCCGACAGCGCCAGCTGAGAAGGCCTTGAGGTGCTGCGTGGTCAGGGTTGAAGGCACAGGTACCATGGGCGAGCTCCTGCTGGGCCTCACTCGACTGCCACGGACCATCATGCAGGGAGCACTTCTGGCTGAATGAGGGCTGGACCATGTGGCTCGAGCGGCGCATCCTGGCCAAGCTCTACGGCGAAGCGGTGGGGAGGCCTGGTGTCCTGCATGTTCTTGCGGTCACTGGCTTGCTTTCCCAGGGTTCAGGCTGGTTGGAACAGCATAGTGCTGACTGCTTTGTGTGATCCACCCTGGACCCACCCATGACCGTGCCCACGCTCCCTGCGCCCTGCGCTCCTCGTACCGCTCCCCTTTATAAGACGTATGAGTTCCATGCCTCCCTGGGGTACCTGGACCTGCGGGAGGCCGTGGAGACCTGGGGCGCAGGCCACGACTTCACCTGTCTCGTGCCCGACCTGTCAGGTCAGTTGCCGCCTCACGATGCCCCTCCTTTCCCCCGCCCCTGCCCGCCAGCGCTACCAGCTAGCCGCCAGCCTGGGAATCCTGAGGATGCAGGCTGCCGTGACCGACTGGGGTACAGACCACCCTTTCACTGCGCTCGTGCCGGACCTCTCAGGTGCATGCCACCTGACAGGCAGGCCCTGTCAGTCATGGCGGTGTGGCACGGCCGCCACATCATCCGGCGAGGAGCCCAGGCCCCTAACCCTCGCTCCCTCCCTTGCCCTGCCCAGGCGGCATCGACCCCGACGACGCCTTTTCGACCATCCCCTATGAGAAGGGTGCGCCTGCGAGGGGACAGCGCAATGGGGACAGGAGGCGTGGCTGGCCTGGGGGAGGATTATTGTTTCTGTTCAGGGATTTGTAAGCGTGGACAAGTGGTTGGAATATCGTGACCCAGGAGCTGACAGATCATACCAACTGCTCCTCCCTCCACAGGCTTCTACTTCCTGCACTACCTGCAAACCCTGGTCGGGGGGCCAGAAGTGTTTGAGGCTTTCTTCAAGGATTACATCAAGGCCTTCAGCTTCAAGACCGTCACCAGTGACGGATTCAAGGTGCTGAGGCAGCTCATAGGGATGGGAGGGAGGCCATGCGTGCAGGGGCGCCATGTTAGTATTGTCAATGGAAATGGCATGCCCTCGTTGCTTGTCCTGCGTCCTGTCCACAATTCTAGCCAGCCCTCTACCTTGAACCCTGGCCAGGCCTACTTCCTGGACTACTTCACGGACAGTACGCCCGGTGTGGGGGGCATTGACTGGGACCTCTGGTTCTACCAACCTGGTGAGTGTGTGCGCATTGACCCTGGGAGCCTGAGATGTGCCATACGACAAGTGACAGGTCACGCAAGGTTTGAATCTCATGTAAACCAATGCAATTGCTGGACGGGACGTCTGCAGGCATCTGCTGACAATAGCTGCAACCATCTGCAAGCCCCGACGGCAATACCGACCCCTTGCCTCCATCCTTTTATCCCAGGAATGCCCCCAAACGTCAACTCGTACGATGCCAGCCTGGCTGAATCAGCGTATGCCCTGGCGCAGAGCTGGCACACCTCTGACCTGATGGGCCTTGGCACCGGGAGTACTGCAGGCCCTGCCAAGGCCTCCACCACTGATCTGGATGGGTGGTCGGCCTCCCAGGTGCCTTTGCTGGAGACCTGATGGTGTTGGTGGTTTGGGTCTCCAGCCTGCGTGTCAATGGATTGGTGGCCATACGACGCATGGCAGCCCCTTAATTCAGTTCTCCCCTGCATCAGGCATGCTTAAGTGGGGGTCAACCCTGTCATTTCCCCCTGGTGTCCACAGAAAGTGGCCTTCTTGGACAAACTGGGGGAGCTGAGGAGCATGAAGCCCTTCACCCCCGCCACCACAAGGCGCATGCAGGAGCTGTACCACTTCGATGACTCCAAGAACGCCGAGCTGCGCCGCGCCTGGTACTCGCTCTGCATCAAAGCAGGTATGGTGATGGCCGAGGGGGGGGGGGGGGGCGAGGTGGTCGGCGGCGGGCTCCCAACATAACGCACCAGATGCGGCCCGTGAGAGGGCGCAGGTCTCTTTGCGACAAGTGGAGGCTGACGACCTAACGTCAAGTGGCTTCTAAGTGCCCAGGCAGGACACTCCCTCCCTTGCTTCGTAAATCATATGAACACCAACCACATGTGCTTGGGCCACTCCATTCCTTGCAGGTGACCTGGCAATCCTCCCACAGACCCTGGCCTTCCTCTCGGAGCAGGGCCGCATGAAGGTGAGTTCTTGGGTGAGGATCTTTGGGACCCTGCACTATACTTAGATCCAGGGTGCCCAGCGCGCACAACAAGCCGAGCCATGGTATGCTTGCGGCCCCGTTCAGTCACCTTGCGTCTCACGTGTCCCCACTCCATCCCATCCAACTGCCGCAGTACCTTCGCCCGCTATACCGCGCGCTCTACGCCCACCCCAAGAGCCGCCAGGCCGCCCTCGACACCTTTGCCGCCCATCGCGAGATGTACCATCCCATTGCCGCCAAGATGGTCGCCACAGACCTGCAGATGCCCGCTGCTGTCTGATGGAACGCCTGAGAGCTGGCGACCGCATCGCTGCATGGCTGCCCGGCAAGCTGGACTTTCTTTCTCGTTACCCTGCCACTGCGAGCCCGTGTGCCCCCCGTCGCGAGCCTTTGTGCGTCAGCTCTGCACTCACACGATGCAATGCGGCGCTGCCTCTCGCCATGCCCTCTCATGCGGGGTCTGGGTCCAGGCACAGCCTCACGCTGCGATGGAAGCGGTGCTGGCGCACATGCACCCCAGCCATGGCCATGAGCTTCTTAGACGCTGCATACTGCTGGCTCCGACTGCGGAAGTGTGTATGGAAGACGATGGCATGAGTTTCTGACGGTCCTGTCGTCAGGAGATCATCAGGCCGCGGCAACTCAGGACCCTGCCCCCACCTTATGCTCCCCGGAGCTGGCTGGGCGCTGCCGGCAGCTGGGCTCGACCCGCCGGCGGCCGTGCCCTTGTCCTCGTGGAAGACCACCTCGGCGATGCCCGCCTGGATCATCAGCTTGGCGCACTCGTTGCAGGGGAACATGGTGACGTAGATCCTCTGGTGCAAGGGTGAGGGCGATGGAGGGCAGCTGGGGCCGGTTGCTCACCACACCTCCAGCGGAGTCGGCGGGGAAGTACCTCGGGGACGGCGTCACACACTTGCGCCCATGATCACGACGACGCCAGGAGCTCTACCCCCCCTCACCGCCCCGCTGACAGACGCCCCATTCTTGTTCAGCAGCGCGTTCATCTCCGCGTGGCAGACGTAGGGGTACTTGGTGTCCAGCAGGTCCCCGCTCTCCGCCGCCTTGGACCAGGGGAGCTGTGCGTCGGGGCAGCCGCGGGGGAACCCGTTGTATCCGATGCCACAGATGACATTCTGGCGGTCGACGATGCATGCTCCCACCTGAGGGGAGGGGAGGGAGAGGGGGGGATGGAGGCTGTGAAAGGCATGCTTCAAGGGTATCTGACAATGCCACTGTGTTGTCGGGGGGCGGCAAGCCCGAGCAAAATGTTGGTATGCAACCACGGCAGCCAGTGGCAGTGGAGAGGATAGTCATTCAGCACCCCCCAACATCCTGCTGGTGCCCTGGGCTTCCAGTCACCAGGACGCTGGCCTCCACCACACCCTGCCATTGCATTTCAAGCAGCTGCCGCCAGCCTCAGAGCAGTGGTCCCATGCCCACCTGTTTGTGGGGATCCTTGGAGCGCTGGGAGCTGAGGAACGCCACCGCCATAAAGTAATCGTCCCAGCTGAGGTACCTGGAGGGAGCTTGCGGGCCTGGTTTAGGATGGGCAGGCATTGAGCCCCCTCGTCGCCTTGCCCAGAGACCACACCCACCCTGAGCGTGGCTTCGTGTCGTAGGGATTCACCGGGCATGGCCCGGCTGAGTCCAGCATCGAATCCCGTTTGGCATCGGGTCCACACCCGACGAAATGTACACAGCGCTGTCTCCACTGCCGCGTGCACTGGCTCCGCAGAAACCAGTACGTCAGGGACGACGACACCACAGCAGCCCCCACTGCGGCGCCCACGAGTGCGAGATCGCTTCTGTGGCTGTATGTGTGCATGCCAAATGCTCAAGGAGGAGGAACTTCGCATCGATAAACCACCAATTTTGCACGCTCTTGCCCATGTTCTTGATCGTGCCTCCGATTCAATCCAGCGCGCTGGGGTTTCGAACTCGGCTGCATCTTAAACACTAGGCGAATGCATGAACGCTCCACACTCCGTTGCATTCCCGGATATAACAGCTCGATTGATAGTATTTACAGCCTGATCGAGTGCCACGTTGCTGTAAAGCAGGGTTATTGACTCCCTGACGTTGATGCGTTGCTTTTCGGAATGTTATCGCGACACGAGTATAAAGTTGCCTTCGCAGGCTGCTCAGTCGTATCTGAAGAAAACATATGGTGCAAGACGGTCGAATAATGTGTTCGTCGACATGTGCGCATTCATCGCGCGTCATCGCGCGCTTCATGAACACGCACGTTCCCATAATCTCGCGAGGAGGAATATGTGGACATGGTCATGCACGCCTCCACGAAAGATCGGCACCGATGTAACCATTCTCAAATCGGCAGTATAAAGATATGAGATTATCTCTCCGGCCCCTCCAGATGAGCCTCGTGAAAGAAAGTGTTTGGGACTACCCCCGGCCCCCCCGCCTGGAGAAGACTCCACGGCACCTCAAGGTCGAGCTTCATGGCAAGGTACTCACCTCATCACGAACCCTAGGGCTTTCTGGGAGCATATTACATTCATTGGGACGCGTCTGAAGTCACCGGGTGGAGGGGCGTGCATGCGGAACCTGCTCTTCTTGTGGAGATCTAGCACCCGTTGAACACAAGCTCCAGGTTAGAGCTCGATGACATCGAAAAACACCGGAGTTCAGTCTTCCTCGAACTTTCTCCACAAATCCTTTCACCTTTTCCAGATTATTGCCGAGACTCGGAATGCGTACCGGGTGCTTGAGACCAGCCACCCCCCCACATATTACCTTCCACCCTCTGACGTGCAAGCTGGCTACCTCTCCAAAGCAAAAGGTAGGCTCTGCAGGGCAGCGTCTGTCCCTCACTGATGATGCTACATTCGTGCCAGAATAGAGTACAGGTTCGTTTTATCAACAAACTCAGTGCACCGCGCCTGTTGCACCCAGCACAGGTGCCTCCTCCTTCTGTGAATGGAAGGGGAATGCGACATACTGGAATGTAACAGTCCCGGGTCACTCCCCCGTCAACCAGAGGTTTTGTGCTGGTGTTTGAAGCTTTCTACAGGAGGATTTGACCTGCCGTCAGGCTGCACACCCAATGCTTGCACTTCATTTAACAGATTATTCCATGGGATTGCCCTCCTGTTAACAACACCATCTCCATTCCCCCCTCAGGATATGGTCCTATGAGAATCCTACACCCAGCTTCAGTAGCATCAAGGGGTATCTGTCCTTCTATGCCTCGCCATTTGAGTGCAGCGTGGACGGCGAATGCGTGAAGCCTCAGGTGGGATGTTTTTGTGTAGGGTTTGGGCGCTGCCTGCACCCCATTCTCGGGTTGAGTGAGGATCACCTCATGAACTCTACCTGCTAAGAAGAAAGCTCGCCCATCACACCACAGGAGGGCAGCTTCTACGCCGGCTGGATAACAGATGATGTGATGGGCCCCTTCAAGGGAGCCCCCAACACCCTGGGGTGGTGAATGTCGGTCTGCCACACGCTCCCCTTGGGTGCCCACTGCACCTCTGCTTCCTCTGCCACCCTGATCTGAGACGGATATATGCAGTGCCGCTAGCCACCATTACAGCATGGGTCGGACAATCTTACTATAAACACGGACAGTTGAGAAAATCAGCTTGATGGGAGTATGCTTCCTGATAAGGTCGTATCATGGGTGAGGGAGGGTGCCTTCGGAGGGGCAAGGTATATAGGCATTCAGCGTCATGCGCATCAATGGTGTTCATGCAGGCAGCGTAAGAAGGGTGTGCTGCAGGGGCAGAAGTTGTTTGGGTGGGGGTTGTGGCCGGGCAGGGCTGCCAGTGCTGAAGCGGCTGCCAGCTCTGGATCAAAGAATCGACAGGCGTGGCGTGGTGTCCCCCACAACCTGGTCCTCATCAGCTCAGGGGGTGGGGCCCCTCCGCGACAGGTGCTGGGAGGGAGCCTGGGGATCAGTGCGAGAAGAGCAGGGCAAAGCGGAATTTTCCGGTATCATGGGCTCCCTGGGAACGGGCGGGGCATGTTGGACCGCGGCCTTCAAGCAGGGATGCTCTCAGAAGGCGCCTGGGAAGGGCTCAATGCAAGTGTACGGGTGGATGTGGGGTGACGTGGCATGGGTGTGCTGGAAAGTGAGGGCGTGCCAGCTGGCCGCGCTTTCCTCTTGGTTCTCCCACCCCCGCATCAGGCGGTCGTCACGAGGATGGCCCGGTTGCGGCGGGGGTCGGGGGTGCGGTACTGCAGCTTCAGGCGGCGGGTGCCCGTGAGCTCGGGGATCACCTGTTGCGAGGAGTGGTGGGCGCGCGAGGGGGTAAGCCTCGTGAGCAGGTGTTTCTGTCGGTTTGAGAGTCACAACTAGCTGCATTTCATGTTGCTGCCGCACAACCCGGGGTCACAGGGATGGGAACGAAGGCTTGTTTTGGATGAAGGTGGTGGACCACTTCCGTGCTTGGGTGAAGCATACATAAGATCAGCAGCAGCCCCTGTAACGCCACCCCGCACAGGGCCCCAGCCCTCTGGCCCATTGAGCATTGCCCACCTTGCCGCACAGGTGGTCGTAGGCTGCCTGGGAATCAGACACCTGCTTGAAGACCACAAAGCCCCACTGGTCGGTGCGACCGCGCTCATGACGGGCCTGCTGCAACTCCTTGTCGGCGAGGGGTCCGAACCTGGGGCCGGGCGCGAGGGGGAGGGGCTGAGTGCAGCAGAGAGGCTGGAGGGGGGACTGGGAATGGATGCGCCTTGTGTTTGTCGGCTGCAACAGCAGAGTGTGTGGCAAACGAGCTTCCACCAGACACCCCACGCTCTCATGACCCCATTGGTAACTTTGCAAGGGGTGAGCAATGCTTCGTAACGCAGGCTGGAAGTCCCTCTGAAGAGCATTGAGGATCTAAACAACGCCAAATAAAACACCATTGATCAGAGCAACCCGTTGGCGCAACGTAGATCTGGTTGCATATCCGCACTCCAGCACCTCGACGCAACTTCCAGCCCCTCGCTGGCCATGCTCCCTGGACTCACTTGCCAAAGATGTCGTCGATGATCTCAAGCGTGGCAGAGCCATCCACCCCGCCCAGCCACAGCTTGACCGTGGGCTCCTTGCTGGCCCCCTCCTTGCCCAGGGGCCGCGCCATCAGGCCCCTCTGCCGCGCGGCCATCCAGTTGAGACCGCGCTGCTGCTGCGCCAGCGCCGCCTGCATCAGCGCGGGCCCCATGTCCTGGTGACCCAGGGGCCCCACCATGCCCATGGGCCAGGCGTCCGCGGGGTGGTGGTGCCCGGGGTGGTGGAACATGGCCGGGCCGCCGTCCAGAGCCTGCGCGCTGGAGGCCAGGTCGGCTGCACCCAGGCGCTGGCCCAGCTGCAGGGCTGCCAGGCCCGCCTCAAGCCCGGCGTGGTCCGAGTAGTCCAGAATGGATCCGTTGCTGTTGTGGGAGTCCAGGGGGGACAGCTCGCCCTGCGGGCGCGGGGAAGGGTCGGTGGTGCGCAGCAGGCGAGGGGAAGGG